GTTGCTGCGGCCCATAGACATCTACATCTATCCTCTATTACAAATCAAAATGCAGATGCATTGTCACCCGTGAGGACTAAGATGGAATGCCTCATTCCCAGGAAAAAGGGCCTCCGGCCACCTGCACTCTCCAAGCGAAACGCAGAGGTAAAATTCTACTTCACGCTGGTTTTCTATTAGGTCGTGGTACCGCCCCGGTTCGAGCCGGCCCATCCGTGCGACAGCAAAAGCTGCCGTGTGGCTCTACCACTGTTATTTTGACATTACGAAAAGACACTTCAATTTTATTTATTTGAATAGTTCCATACTCGTAAAGTATGAAAGTTTATAAAAAATTCGAAAGTGATTACTATATTATTTCGATCTTGTGGCGTGAGAAAACTTGGCTGCACTTTTAATAATTCTATACAAGATCGTAGATATCAGTGTGATTTATACTGATTATCTAGTTATTTGGGAGTTATTAATCATCATCATCATCATTTCATCATTACAGCCCTTCACAAGTCCACTGCTGAACATAGGCCTCCCCCAAAGAATGCCACAAAGCACGGTCCTGAGCCACCTGCATCCATCGACTTCCTGCATGTCTTACCAGGTCGTCACTCCATCTCGTGGGGGGACGCCCTACACTTCGCCTACCGGTACGAGGCTGCCACTCGAGAACCTTTCTTCCCCATCGGTTGTCGGTTCTTCGAGCTATATAGCCGGCCCACTGCCACTTCAGCTTACTAATCCGTTGGGCTATGTCGGTTACTCTGGTTCTACTGCGGATATCCTCATTCCTAAGTTTATCACGCAGAGAAACTCCGAGCATAGCCCTCTCCATAGCTCGCTGAGCTTCCTCATACGGCCAGCAGTGAAGGACCACGTCTCAGTTCCGTAAGTCATCACTGGCAACACGCACTAGTTGTACAATTTCGTTTTCAGGTTTTGAGGTATGTCTGACGAGAAGATGTGTCTAGCTTCCCGAACGCTGCCCAGCCGAGTTGAATCCGTCGATTGACCTCTCGGTCGAAGTTGGACTTACCTAGTCGGACTATTTGTCCCAGGTAAACATACTCGTCAACAACTTCGAGCTTAGTGCTCCCAACAACTACCGGCATAGGTGTGACATGGACATTGAACATGATCTTTGTTTTGTCCATGTTCATCTTAAGACCTATCCGTTGGGAAACACTATCGAGGTCATTGAGCATAGTGCTTAGGTCCTCCAGCGATTCTGCCATAAGGATTATATCGTCGGCAAATCGAAGGTGAGTGATGTACTCTCCATTGATGTTGATACCGTATCCTTCCAGTCCAGAAGCTTGAAAACGTCTTCCTATGCAGCGGTGAAGAGTTTCGGGGATATGACGTCACCCTGTCTTATACCTCTCTGCAATTGGATAGGTTTCGTACTCTGATTCTGTACTCGGATAGCCATCGTAGCCCTACTGTACAAGCACTTCGACACTTCGATATACCGACAGTCAACTTGGCACCGCTGAAGGGACTGCAGCACCGCCCAAATTTCGGCGGAATCAAAGGCTTTCTCATAGTCCACATACGCCAGACATAGTGGCAAATTGTACTCTTCGGACTTCTGTACAATTTGCCGAAGGGTATGTATGTGGTCTATTGTGCTAAAGCCCTTTCGGAAACCGGCTTGTTCGGGAGGCTGGAAGTCGTCAAGTCTGCGCGCGAGACGATTCGTAATGACTCTCGAAAACAGCACGTAGACGCGGCTCAGAAGGGAAATCGGTCTGTAGTTCTTCAAGAGAGCGTTGTCACCTTTCTTGAAGAACAAGACCACCGCACTTCTGCTCCACGCCTCCGTTGTAATGCCACCATGGAGGACGGAATTAAAGAGCTTCTGAAGGACTTCAAGTACCGGTCTTCCACCCGCTTTCAGAAGTTCCGCTGTAATTCCATCCACGCCTGGGGCCTTACCGTTTTTAAGGTGCTGGAGAGCCATTCTAATCTCGCTCAGACTAACGTCCGGGATATCTTCGGAATAGTGTCGGATGAGACTCGCTCTTGGATCGTTACTCACACTTGCGTGTGGCTCCAACGATGACGTGTACAGCTGCCCATAGAACCTCTCAATCTCACTCAAAATCTCAGGTGTCCCGGAAACGATGCTGCCACATTCTGTCTTCAGCTTTGACAGTTGGCTCTTTCTGGCAGACAGATCTCTGGCAAAGACTTTGGAGCCTTGGTTCCGCTCGATTGCTTCTTCAATACGAGCTGTATTGAAGTTGCGTAAGTCCCGCCGCATGCATTTAGAGATCTGTCTGTTCAGATGCCTGTATACTGTCAAGTCTGTTGAAGAATGTAGCTTCATCTCCCGTCTAACAGCCATGAGATTAAGAGTGTGATCGGAGAGTTTTTGTGTTCTTCTGCGGCGGGTCTTGCAGAACTTAGCTCCGACCGCATGGACAGTTTCCACGAGCTTGTCATTCATATCGTCTACTTCATTGCTGTCTTCTAGACACTGAAAACGGTTTTGTGACTCGAGCTGAAAGGTTTTGGGACTTTGGAACAGAGCACGAGGGGGACGGAGCATTGACTTCATTAGACGAGACCTCTCCAACTTAACGTTTAGGTTCAGTGTGCCTCTAACCATTCGGTGATCGCTACCAGTTTTCACCCTCGCGATCTCAGAGACATCACTGAACAGTTGTCATCTGGTCGTCATAATGAAGTCAATCTCATTTTTTGTCGAACCGTCGGGGCTCGACCAGGTCCACTTCCTGTGGGGCCGCTTCTGGAAGAAAGAGTTCATCATAAAGAGTCCCTCTTTCTCCATGAAGTCGGCCAGCTGCTGGCCCCTTGGGTTCCGTGTTCCTATTCCAAATTTCCATACTTTCAGCTCACCGTTCTCTCTTGTGCCTAGTTTTGCATTAAAGTCTCCCATTAACACCGTATATTGGGTTTTGGAGGAATGCATGGCTCTAGAGATATCCTCATACATTTCCTCCACCTCCTCATCGGGGTGTGCCGAGGTTGGTGCGTAAACCTGTATGACCTTCAGCGAATACCGTTTATAAGGTACGCAACCCTCGTCGACACACTCCCGATCTTTACAACGTTGTTAACGAGAGACTTGTGGACGATAAATCCGACACCTCCTTGGCACAGATGGTTGCCCTCCCGGTGATAAAGCAAGTTGCCCAATTCGAGGATTACCGTGTCATCCCCCTCTCTTCGGACTTCGGATAATCCTATAATATGCCAGCGCAACTTGTCTATCTCTTCTTCCAGCTCCACGATCTTCTCGTCAGTCCTCAAGGTGCGTGCGTTGTACGTTGCCAGGTCGAGTCGTCTAAGGTGGCAACCGAACCTCCACCGGAGTTTCTTAGCACCCCCTGCCCCGCCGTTACCATGGTCGCCACCGTAGCCAGGAATAGCGGGGCCGCCGGGGACTGGGGGCCGTCTCTTTGTTACATTCATAGGGGGGTATTTGCCATAGTTGCCACGCTTGGCGAGCGGGTTGGCAACCGCAGTTTTTTTATTGTAATTTTGGCTATTATCAGGAAGATGCTGCTGCCCATCTCCTGCCTGTTTCCCTTTGTCGCCTTTTACGACACCCACGGGAGGATATGGGGTAGTGGATATTCTTGACCGCCACTATACGGCTTATAGGGAGTTATTAATAATTACTTTAAATAAAAGACAGGATTTTTAGTGTATGTATTTGGTTACAATCGACAGCAAAGTGTAGCCGAATTTAATCATAATGATTTGTTAAATTCAAATTAATTTTTTTTTAATTAATTTCGGTATCAGTAAATTTAATTTCATCTATGCGGTTACCTTGCACTCTATTTAGAAAAGCTAATATTTTTAGTAGCATCTTGTACGTATACAATATGATAAGATTTGCTCCAATTCCTCATTAATAAGATGTGAAAAATGGTAATTTCTTTTGTTAGAATTCTCTGAACATAACAAACAATTTTTTGTCGTGTTTAGATATGACTTTTAGTTAAACTTTACACCTCAGAAGTGGTCATTATTGATTTTTGCAAAGACGGAGATAGAGGTTGGTCCTAATCACGGGCTTCTGAATTTAAAAAAATCTGGTAATCTGCTTCACTTTATTCTTAAAAATAACAAATACTATACCATATAATTTCATAAACTTTTAAAAAATATCGTGTTTTGTTAAGAAAGTTCATCATTTATTGCGATATATTACTAAAACTAATGACATTCAATTAAAATACAAAGCGTAATTTTAATAGAAAACGTTAAATATAATTAAAATAAATCTAAATATATAAGGTCAAATTAAACTTGATATCGAAACTTAATTTTAAAGTGAAGATAACGCATAATTAATTGAAACAGAACTTACATCTGTTATTTATAATACGATCGTTGCTGAAAGATGAAAAAATATGAGGGAGTACGTTACAAGGCAGTCGCGTTGATGCAATGAATACATCGTAATCGTATGTGTGTCTAAAAACCTCGTGAATTAAACAGAGGGCAGCCGTACAAAGTTGGGTGCGAGCGGGGTAAGGGAGTGGGGGGACATTACAAAACTTGGTTTAACCGGTTAATTCTTACTACCTGAACCTAAATTTGTGAAAACCGGTATTCCGCAAAAACCGGTTTCGGGGTCAATGACCGAAACCGGTTATGAATTTGAACCGGTTTCCGAGCCCTGGTTGAAAATAATTGTCATTTTGGCTGAAAGCCCTGTAGCTAATGCCGCAATTAATGACTAAAAAATATTTTGACATTTGTTATCGGGCTCTGTTAATTTACCGTTATTTGATCCCGCCTAAGGGTATTAGTGTTCTGTGTATTTGATTTTGTAATTTTATGTCGTTGGCGTGTTTATGTTTAAATTTTAACATAGAGGAAAGGAAAGTAATATACTGAGAAGTAGAAACTGAATATAAGCTTTTTTCGGTATCGATAAATTAGGTATTAATTAGAATTACACCAGAAAAAATTTAAATTCAAAATATAGGACAAAGTTGTGTTTTCCACTACGGCTTATCAAAATGGATAATGACGATTATTATGAAATAACAACACAATTAGACCCTAGAGAAATATTACGGTACTTGAACAATTTAGGAATACAAAACATAAGTGGTGAAGTTTTAAAATATTTTATAACAGGTAAGTATCATCAAATTTGAAACGAAGGGCATCGGATTTAGTGTGTAATCTTAACTTTTAAACTTTGTCTTATAACACATTTATCACGGTTTTTGTTTGCAGATCTTAAAAAATTTATTAAGTATGACTTGCAGCATAAAAAAGAAAATTTGAACCTAAAGAAAACATATGAATTAGGACCTGAAAGATTACACAGTGCTAGTACCTTTTCATCTAGAACAAGATCAAGGGGAGCACCATACAGCGAAATTTGCTCTAAAGAATATCCAAAAACAAAAACAATGTTCAATTTTCGTAATACTTGTTCAGCACCTACTATTGCAATTCCAAAACTTGAAGTTGAAGTACCAAAGAGAGCATGTTCTTGTATAAGAATTGAAAATAAACCTGCAACCATCTCTAAAGAACCGAAAACAACATCATCACTTAATAATAATTGTAAGAGTTTAGATTTATTTAAATATTGCAATTGCAGTAAATTTTTTAATCTTTATTATTATTATTTACAATAATAATGTGCTGTTTTTTTGTTTTTCAGTAATCAAGGTTCCAAAGCAGCCTTTAAAAAGAAAAAACGACCCTGTCTCTTTATATCACTATTATACATCTTTGTGGGCAAAATATAAACCAAATGTACCTGGCGAAAACAACTGGTCAGAACTTAGATGGAGCATAAGACAAAAAATGGCAGGAAGTATTCCATGTCCATCTAGTAAGGTAAGTTACAAAGATTTATATTTTATATAATGAGCAGCATAGTTTAAGAGTGCAAAACCGTCGCTCACAGATAGCTTTGCTAAAAGGCAACCAATATTGGACAGCATGTAATTGTAATGAAGTTCGTTATGGCACGGTACGAATTTGATGGATCCCCCATCCATCCATTAGGTGAGAAAAAGTGTAAGATTTTTCTGTCGTCAACAGTATAAGTGAGCTGGAAAGATATCAATCTCCCTCGCACTTTTTCTTATTTTGTCATGAAACAAATATTGTTTTAAATGACGCTTCATTTTAATAAACACTAGTAATTCATAATGATTTCTTATATTTATGCGAACACTACACATTGAATAAAACTATTTTTACGGATTTTATCGCTTTTAATTAACTTATTTTATATTCCCGACGTTTCGGTTGCTTTCCAGCAACCGTGGTCACGGGGGACTGAGGTGATTGACGTCCCGATGTCAAAGTTAACCCGGAGTACCTTCAGCTTTTTAATTATTAATTTTGGTCCGATCTACGCAGAATGAACTAACTGTGTCTTGAAGTCTTGCAGTGGTATGCTTGGGTTTAGTTTTAATTTTATGAATTACAGGATCCCAAGCAGGTGGTAGTACCCAGCCTCCCTCTCTATTGAAATTAGGATGTTTTTTAATTTCAATAGCCTCACGTATCATCCTTGGCAGGAATCGATGTTCTTTCGCGAGGACTTGTGGTTTATCAAATCTAATGTAATGGCGGGGGCCGTCTAGGATATGATCACAAACTGCAGACTTCCCGGAATGTTGGTGCTTCACGTCAGCTATGTGTTCTTTTACATGGGTTTTTATTGATCGTTTTGTTTGCCCTATATATGAGAGACCACACTCACAATCAAGCTTGTATACTCCTGCATCTTGTAGAGGAATATTGCACTTGACGGATGGAAAGAACTGACTAATCTTCTTCGGCGGCTTGAAGAATGTTCTAATAGAAGCTCGCTTCAAGATGTAGCCAATCTTGTCTGTGACACCTCTGACGTATGGTAGTACAGCAGGCACACGCTCGACTGTGGCCGGCTTCACTCGGTCACTGTGACGTAGGCGCGGAACCCGAAGCTTGTTGTCGTGCAGAACCTGCTTGACGTGCTGAAGCTCGGCGGCCAGGTGTTTGCTGTCACAGATCCCTCGTGCTCTCTGCAACAAAGATTTGCCCACGGTAGCTAACTGTGAAGGGTGATGGTGGGATTCACCGTTTAAGTATCGGTTTGTATGGGTCTTTTTTCTATACACAGTGTGACCTACGGTATTGTTAGGATTTTGAATGACTAACACATCTAGGAAAGCTAAAGAATTATTTGCCTCTAACTCCATAGTAAATTGAGTATCAATTTACTATGGAGTTAGTGTGGGTTCCGCGCCTACGTCACAGTGACCGAGTGAAGCCGGCCACAGTCGAGCGTGTGCCTGCTGTACTACCATACGTCAGAGGTGTCACAGACAAGATTGGCTACATCTTGAAGCGAGCTTCTATTAGAACATTCTTCAAGCCGCCGAAGAAGATTATACAGTTCTTTCCATCCGTCAAGTGCAATATTCCTCTACAAGATGCAGGAGTATACAAGCTTGATTGTGAGTGTGGTCTCTCATATATAGGGCAAACAAAACGATCAATAAAAACCCGCGTAAAAGAACACATAGCTGACGTGAAGCACCAACGTTCCGGGAAGTCTGCAGTTTGTGATCATATCCTAGACGGCCCCCGCCATTACATTAGATTTGATAAACCACAAGTCCTCGCGAAAGAACATCGATTCCTGCCAAGGATGATACGTGAGGCTATTGAAATTAAAAAACATCCTAATTTCAATAGAGAGGGAGGCTGGGTACTACCACCTGCTTGGGATCCTGTAATTCATAAAATTAAAACTAAACCCAAGCATACCACTGCAAGACTTCAAGACACAGTTAGTTCATTCTGTGTAGATCGGACCAAAATTAATAATTAAAAATCTGAAGGTACTCCGGGTTAACTTTGACATCGGGACGTCAATCACCTCAGTCCCCCGTGACCACGGTTGCTGGAAAGCAACCGAAACGTTGGGAATATAAAATAAGTTAATTAAACGCGATAAAATCCGTAAAAATAGTTTTATTCAATGACTAGTAATTCATTTATTTGTATTTGTTAATCAATAATATAATATGTTTATCAATAACAATATACTATGAAAGGAACTTCATTCCAACCAAGTGTTCCATGACACTCATGCATGTCTTTTTTATCTGCCGACTTCCAAAAAGTAGACAGTACTCAATTCGACTAAGTTTTTTTTATGTGTGTTACCTCATAACTTTTTACTGGGTGAACCAATTTCGATGATTCTTTTTTATTTGAAAGCTGGTACTTCTCGTGTGGTCCCATATGAATTTGATCAAGGTCAGACCAATAGTTTTTTAGTTACTCTTAATAACTTATATTGAAGTCTGCTGTACAAAATTTTTAATTTTAAAATATTTATTTACAAAACATAGTCAAGGAATGGATTCTTGTCAAATTGCCAGCCATATCCCCTCTAACATTTATGTCTTTATATAAAATTCTTCTGACCGTGTGTATGTGACTGAACTCCTAAATGGCTGAACTCATTTTGATGAAATTTCATATGTGATTAAGTAGATTAGAGAATGGTTTAGATTCACAATTGAACCTGGTAGGTGGTGCTGTTGCTGATATCCAGAAATCACCCATGCAAAGCTGGGGTTTATCGCTGGTTATGTATATGGGAGGCCTATGTTTAGCAGTATACTTTTAAAGGGCTATAATGAATGAAAGGATGAATGAATTTTGTTTAATAAAGGTAGTTCTTGTGTACATATTCTACATGCAAACTAGTTAATAAGTAGATAATGCCTAAAGGCTTTAAGTTAGCCCTTTATTAATTTTAAGTGTAACAACAAATAAACCAAGCAGAAGCTTTAGGGTTAGGCTAGAAGTTTAGGTCCTAGTGTGAGGGTAATGTTTTTCATTGAAAAAACAAAACAATGCACAAGCCGAGCAAGCAAAGCAAGTGTGCTGTGGCAGCAGTTGATGAAGTGCCAGAAATAGAATTTTAAGGCATTTCTTAGTGTCCTATCACTAAGGATTCTATTTTTAAAGTGAAAAAGTTTTTAATATGGAATTTTCAAAAATGCATACACACAATAAGTTTCATCATTCACCACTTCCCCCAACCTCTTTTGCACCACAGGATACTCAAACAACCCCCTTTTACCTATTGCACTGCTATTTTTCGGCACAGGCATCATTTGTATGACTGCAATAGCTACATACCATCAAGTGTAGCTGTAAGTACATTAGTCACTTCAGCTTTATAAAAAAAATCTATTTATTATAATCCATAGAAGCTCATCTTCACTTAATGATTACATGGGGATAAAAGTTAATGTTTTAAATTTATTATTTCTTTTACAGGCTGTCGCCATGACAAATAAAGAAGAAATGAAGAGTAAAAAATTATAACATTTGGCCAATTGTGGATGATTGAATTCAACATACAATATAATGTATACTGTAATAATATTGTAATTTTATGGTGTTACTAAATAATCTTAAGCATTATTATTATTATATAATAAAGTTAAAATATGTATAGCCATTATCATTGCCATAATATGTAGTATATCTTTACTTCTAAGTAACAAGGATAGACCAGTCCCAAATTTTGGAACAGTTCTTTTATTAAGGTTCTAAAAAGGTTCCAATTTTCAGTATGGTCCCAGTTATGGTATTGCTTGTAAGATACCAGTTCAAAAATACCAAAATTTTTCAGGTTACAAGTTGAAGAGGGAAGTCTATACAGCATTGTAATTTAGCTTCATTTTACTTCAACTGTAATATGGGAAATGAATATTGTCCCACTGAAAATATCATGTCTCTCAGTAAAATCAAGCATGTAGGTAGGCTTTGGATCTAGTTCTAGAAATAGAAGTTGTTATTCCACCATCACTATCACAGGTTACAAATAAATAACACTTATTAAAGATAACTGCAAGTTTTTTATTAACTTATATACCTTCATATGTCTTTCCTGCTCAAAGTAAATAAATTTTGAAGGGCTTGCCGACATCATCTGATTGAGATGAAATTAGGCATACTTATGTAATGTTGATGACAATATAATAATCCAGTACCATGGAGCTGCCCTGATTGCTTACCTGAGCTGAACACTAATTATTTTTAAAAAGATTTTATTTATATGTAATTGAAAAATATAAATATCTAACTTAAGGCTAATGAAAATACCCTAAAAATTCATATATAAATATTTTAAACATAATATAATCTTAATAGCATTACCCAATAGCAAAATACCATAAAAAAATACTACAATTAACTAAGATAGTCTAGCTGTTTCAATGCCAGTGAGACTAATCTTTTTTAAAGTATGCTGCATCAAGTCTGCTTGCTTGTTTAAATATCTAGTACCATCATGGGCCATATCTAGTGATTCCAAGAAAAACAGTGAAAATCAATAAGATAACTGTCCCATCCAAAATCACATTAATATTTAATTGTAGTATTGGTACCATTTTTTTTTTGGTTTCTTACTGATACTTTTGGAACATTCATTCCCTGTTTATGATAATCATTTTTTTTCCTGTGAAATAAATATTTTATTTAAAGACCAAGACTTAAGTAAAAATCCATGAAAAGAAAACAGCTTTTTGGGATTACAGTTTTTATTATCATTTAAGATGTCGAATTACCTACCTTATATTTACTAAAAAGACATAATTTAAATCTGACTTAATTTAAATTCAGCTTGTTGTTCATTAGTTACAGAATGGAGGTGATGTAGTATCCTCTCTTCTATTTTTTCAGCGGCAGACAAAGTAAGAAGTAGTGTATCATGTTTAAGCATGGAATATACATTTAGTCCATAAACTGGCATTATGTTTACATGTGGAAGATTTTCTGTAGCCACTGTAATGTTTCTAGGAGCAATGTCAGTACTGAAAAAAGTAAATAACTGCCTTTATAAGGGTAAAGTTTATTTACATAGAGGTTAAGTTAAAAGGGCTATGAAAAACCATTATTATATAAATCATGTTAGGGCAAATGCATTGCATTTGCAGCATTAAATTCAAAAAACTATGCAATTTAAACATATTTACACATTTTTCTATTAATATAAATATGGTCATTTTTTTCTCTGTAGGTAATTAATTGTAATTGTGTTGTTACACACAGGCCTATGTTCATGGTTTAAAAAAGGGTGTCATATAGTGGTGGCATAATAGAAACCACTATCTTCCCATGGGTGTTTTAAGAGGTGACAGAGGAAAACTAATACAGGAAATGGGCAGCAGCATCTTCTTTGGTTGCCAAGTGTGATAACTACAAATAGGAAAAAGACAATCTATGTTCAGTAGGGAACTTTAGATAGGCGGTTTAGTAGTGAACTTTTGATAAGTCATGATGCTGAGTTAATAATTGCAGTGACAATGTAATGGGTTCCAAATTAACCTTTTTTTATTATTGTATATATTAATAAAAACATTTATAATTATATTCATCTAAATTACATACTATTATAATTATTGTTTATTTTTTGTAATATAATGTGGTCCAAACTGAATTTAGGTCACAGCAGCCAGCCTCAATAGAGACTAGCCATCTGTGCAGTACAGGACTATAGTGGATGAGTGTGTGAGCATACACGGGTACAGAAATCTAGATAACCAGAGATTGGGTGCAGGACCAACAGCTTTATGTACTTTCTGAGACATGGGTAAAACATAGCCAACTGTCTGACTCCAGGCTTCTACTACGAATTTCTTGATAGAGTACCCCAATAACTGATTATGGCCCAACCTGGTACTTCACAATCAGCGGTTGCACTGACAACCACTATACTAATGAGGCAGTTTAAAGGTATAACACTTCCATTGTAGAATCATGCTGCAGCACAAATGATCAGGCTTGCCAATGGAAAGATCCTGTCCTCACAGGTACAAAATAGCCACTTCATACTACTGTTTCATCATATTGGGAATGTGTATAGAATACCTATTTAACAGATCATAGCATTCTCTTACGATGTGTAAGAGGCTGTAATAAATTAATAATCTGTATCACTTAGGATAAAACATTTTGTCATGCAATCAGTTTTATTAAGTTGAATAAACTACTTACTCATCAACAATTAAAACAGATGGTCCCCAATTCCTGTTTTCAATTAAATCTATTAGATATTCGGGCTCATCAGATGGTATCTCCAAATCCTTAACTATGTGAAGGTCATCCTGAGCAAGCTTTGCTGATAGTGTTGATGTTAAGCCATGTATTCTCAAATGGAATGGCAACATGAAAAAATGACTTTTGCCAGAGCGCGGACCATGAGCAATACCACCACCACGCCATAAAGGAGATCTTATCGAACCATGGCGAGCTCGGCCCAAGCCTTTCTGTGGCCACGGCTTCTTGCCACCACCGCGCACTTCAGCCCTAGTTTTTGTATGTGCCCATGACACCCAACGATATTTCTGCTGCCATACAACATTACGATGAATAATATCTATTCGAGGAACAGCAGCGTAGACTAGGGGATGTAACTCAAAAAGCCCTAGTTTTTTTTCTTCTACAGTATCTAAACTCTCAATCCACACCTCACGCGGTTTGGTATATACCGGTGGAAACTTCCATTCTTTCTGTGTTACACTTATAGCATCTCCAGAAGTTGTGACAGCCGTTGTATACCCCGAAGAAATTATCCTAATTTGTGGTACTATTGATAAATGCAGTCGCTTAAAGGCATTTATTAAAATGGAAGTCATTATCTTACTTTAGTTATTATTATGATTAGTTCAACTAACTTTACATTTATTTTACAGTATTTATAATTCTTAAAATAGACAAAATTCTAACCTTAAATTTTAAAATCAGATGTTTGTTGTTGTTACTATTCGCCAATTAAGGCAGGCAAAATCTTAGACCATACAGCCTTGCCTGAGTGTATTATGTTCACCAAATTCTTTACATTATGTATCAACTTAACGTCAATTACGAATACCTCCAGACGCCTAAGCGAATAAATAATATGATATTCACATCACAATCAAAGCACTGTTACAGCGTTTCAACTAATAGTTCACATGCGTAGACATATATTACACAAAATCTATCCACTTTTATGTGTCAAAATGCACCTTCAAATCATTATTTGTTGAATTACTGTGGAACGTTCAATAGCCTTATGCGATTGACCCCCATTCCCTTAAGTAAACCCACTAGACTCCACCCCCACCCCTTAAAACCTGTAGTAAAACGCCACGTAAAAAGTAATGACATAAATTTCTCACCGTTATGGTGAGAAATTGCTATTAGAACATGCAATTTTTTTTACACATTTACAGAGTTAATAAAACAAATAAATACGCAGAGCTATTAGAAAGTATTTGTTGGTTTATATAGTCCCTCTTGGGTAAAAACCTCCTCCAACTTGAACCATTCTTCGCGGTTTTTGGCAATTTGCATCTGTTACGCGCCACTATTAATGTCTTGTACATGGCAACACTAGTTACACTAGCGCCCCCTAGTGTCGAGTAAATGAAAGTATTGCGCGCCACTATTAATGTCTTGTACATGGCAACACTAGTCACACTAGCGCCCTCTAGTGTCGAGTAGCAGAACTAGGAGAGTCGAGATCCTTCCAGAAATTTCGGGACCGATATGTACTCGAACATTCTAGATGTCGCTACAGTAGAAGGTTCTGGAAACTATCTGAGGCCCTATATAAGGCCGGTATAGACCACGACCGGGGCAGTATTGAATTGGCGATACAAGAGAATACTTCGAAGCGAAATAACGGCGAACTGTGTTTTATTATTAGTGTGATTTTAGATTGTAATTAGTGTTGTGTAATTAAAGTGTTAATTTTGGTAATTCAATCGGCAGTTTTTAATTGTCTCGAACCCCAAGTTCGTAACAATTGGTGTCAGAAGTGGGATCAAATATGCCGATTTTACCTAAAGACGACACGGAGGGTATCCGTACCCGAAGTCAACGCCAACAGGAGACGGACCAGAGACGATTTGGTAATGCAACGCCGCAAACGTCGGAGGGCCAGTTGCTAACCACGGAGGCTGGCCCGTCAGCAGCTCCTGCATCTGCAGCACCTGACTTAGGTGCTCTGATAATGATGCTGCAGGATCAGGCTCGCCGACAGGAGGAACAGGCCCGCCGACAGGAGGAACAGGCCCGCCGACAGGAGGAACAGACCCGTCGGCTGGAAGAGCAGCTGCAGCGCGGTATGGAAGAACAGATGCTCCTCAGGAAGGACCTTCACGCTACCTTCGGGAAAGAGATAAAGGAGGTAAAGGATAGAGTTGCTCAACATGACAACCGCCTGTCGGAAGCTGAAACCTGAATCGACCAAGTGAACAATCGGGTTGACAACGTGATGGCTGATGTGAAGAAAACGCTGGACGACCTCAAACTTGGGGATGGAGTTACAGCTC